ATCCAGAGTTTGGCATTACAAAATGTCTCAGTTGTAAATACCTGAAGAACTGTGACTTATGGATGTCAAATTTAAACTGTTCAAATGAGGTGAACTTATTGTCTATATAAAGATCATTTAGAGAAGTTATTTGTCCGCAAAACATTTTGGTTGTCCAAAATAATCTCAAGAAAAATGTAATTTAAAAAGTATATTGTTCTGTAGACAAAGTTTATTATATATACTTGTTCTCAGTCAGCCAGGTTGACAGGATCTGTGTGAATAAAACTTCCTCATTCTCTTCTTTGAAATAGAGTATTTAAGGCTCAGGGAGTAAAGCAGCAAAAATGTTGCTAATAAAATCTAGAGGTTACCCAACATTCATAAATTTCTTTCTGCTCATAGGTCAAACATTTTCACTTAAATAGGAGTTTACTGTGTACACATATTAAAAGTTACAGTTTAGTGTTCTGTTTTACCAAGTTTTTTCTCCCTTTCTTTCTTACAAATGACAGACACCCACGACACAGAACTTTAATCAAGGTCTTTTTTTCTTGGTTATCCACCAGACAACCCGGAGACAGGATCTGGTTGTCCGAAATGAAAAGAGATTGTCTCGGACAACCTAAACAATGTTTATGTCTACCCCTGCTCTCTATCCAAACCACATTCTCTAAGGATGGTCCAAACTGGCACGTCACATGAAAAGTCATCAGGACTGAACTCCTGCTTGCTGAGACAGCAGCAGTTTTCACTTGTCAGAGCTTGAAGCCTCCCCACATGAATTACATCTTTGCTGAGTGAAAAAGAAGGCAATTAGTTTGAGGAAGGCATTGAGTTTAAATGGCTGTCATTACATTGTCAAAGCTCACTCTGAATGTCCCTTTGTTCCACTAACTACCTCCAGTCCAAGACGCTTAGACACAAACACAGCTCTACTGATAAACAGAGCGAATTCGACAAAAATGTACGTCAAAGGGCTGACATTGGAACGCAAACGCATCCGGAGTTAACAGGTATTTATGTTCCCTTTGCAAAATACGGTTTCCGAAATCTATGATAATCTGTCATTTTACAGATGTACAAGGAGGAGGTATATTTAAGCTAACATTATAAGTGCTGACTAATCATGGTGACCTGGCAGGGTTTTATTAAGCAGTGTGTAAGTTGTGTGATTAAAAACAAGACTTACTGTAAGTTTGTCAGACAAAAAATAAAAGCTCAGCAACAGATTGACGGCTTGAGCTGAAACATGTTTATTTGTTTATATGCTTTTATCTTAGCTTAAATGAGATACTTGGGAGTGAATATTTCAAGTTTAAAAGTATTTATAGTAGGGCTGCCAAATAATTAAAAATTTTAATCTATTAATTCCAAGGTAGCTGTGAATTAATCACGATTAATCTTGAACTTAATATAAAACTGTAAATTTTTAAATATTTATTAATTAAATAAATAAAATAAAATAAGCCATAAGAAGACAAAAAGAAAAAAACTGTACATAATGATAATGTGTTACACGTGGAG